ATATATATACTACACACACACACACACACACACACACACACACACACATATATATATATATATATAAATAAATATAATTATATATATATATATATATATATAATTCTGATTAATCGCCAACTTTTTCAATCACCATACAGTATGAACCATGTGGGAATCCCGGATGGCGTCAGCGCTGGAGTGGATGAGAAAGGAGAACCTGTTTTCTACTTCGCTATTTTATCATTGTTCCCTGACATGATTGTGCGCTTCGTTGACTGGCCATCAATTCGACAATTGGTGAGTCTCTCGCATGTTGTCCTTGACATCTGCCTCTGCAGATGGCGAAAGGGCTACATAGGGTACTGTCCTGGAGATTTATTTTTCATTGGAGGAACTCAAAGTTGAATTCTACCAAACCCAGTGACAGTGAACAATTCCGGCAATCCACAACGTTTAGCGTCGATCCACTTTTCCCATACATTCATTTCTACAGTGCATTCAATCAATATAATTATACTTACAGATCTTCTATCTTCCGAGTGGACTGAGTGTGAAATAGTTAGCTTCGGTCTGATTTTTCTTTTCCTCGCAACCGAGAGTTTTAATCTTGCACTCACTCGATCAATCGGTTCTGCTCACCAACAAAATTTCACTTACAGCTCTTGTATCTTCCGCGTGGACTGAGTGCACCTATTCCAAGGTGGGGCTTTATTGTTCGCACAGATAAAAATGGTGTGGCTACTCGCACTTGGCAAGACCACAGTGGCGAAACCTCCCAGGTAGGTATACGCCAAACTATATAGTCATGCTTGTGCAATGTAGGAGATGTATAATCATCACGTTTCCAATCATATCGCATATTTACTGATGTTGTTGCCAGTTTGTATACTGTAATATTGTTTAGGCCGGGTGCGGAGCCTTTATGATCGCAGATGCGGCTTCAGTAAGATTATTTTGCCTTTTTGATCTGTAATTCTATTTGTTTTTAGCCGATATATATCCGTTTCTCAGTGTGTCATGCATCTGAGCCAACCCCAATGATATCTCCCAATTTGCTCATGTTTTGTGCACACAATTCTCTAACTCCCGTACTTTGTCCTTGATACTGCAGCTCACCTCCGTCGAGACGACCAAAGGAGGCCTCTATGTAGGCGGATTGCACAACAACTTCGTAGGATTCTTGAAGGTCGATAAATAGAGCTAGGTGATCTAACGTATTACTTCAGCAATTCGCAATAAATGCTATACCCCGTAGAACTACTTAGACGGGGCAATTCTAGCTTGCTCGGTGACATTGAGTTGAATAATTGCTGTAGTCTAAATGTAGCAATGAGTATCAGTGTTGTAAAGGGTAGCGTTATATAGAACCACTGCTGCTTCCTGATTCAAGGGTTTAGCCTCAGCCCTCAGGGTGATGTCATATATATATATATATTAAGA